CTCTTTCCCATGTCCTAATGTTTCTAGATATATCCTAGCTAGTAGATAAATCAATTTTCGAACTACCATTTCAATCATGTTAGAACCTGCTCCAATATAATTTAAAGCTAGCGCGCGTTTTTCTTTTTGCTTCATATATTATAATCCGAATCCCTCAATCCTAGATAATTAGAACTCTTGTTCTTAAAATCTCCTTGTGCCTACATTTAAAGCAGGTGTCCTGGTATGGTCAATAACAATAAAAAATTATTGGGATAAACTTTTGTATCATTTTAATTCAAGATGGATGCGAGATTTGGAATACATGAAAATCTTTTTATGTTTAAATCAATAGTCGGTAGAGTACTAGAGATGTAAATTATATTATAATGGCAATTAAGGTTAAACGGGCCTTTGATTTTGAATTAATTAGTTTAAAATGACGACATGATTGATACTTTGGCGAATGAAGGTAACAGTAGGGAGAGGACACAGGAATAGACCCGAGAAAAGCGGGGGAAGAGGCACGCGTCATGCTTAGAGGAAGTGGACCTGGTTCAAGCTTAAGGTTAGGCTTGGTTTAGATATTTATAAAGGTGGAATTTGCAGAAGACCCAAGTGGTGCATGTGGTGTGATTCATAGAAAATTGAAGCACAATACAAACAGACACCCTCAGACACTGTATGTTTATGTTTGTGCATGACCCTAGTCCAGTTAAGTTTTAATTGTGCCAGCTATGCTTTCATTAATAAAATCAACTCTGCCACATATATGACCGTAGTTCCCGTTTCTGATGTGGATGTTCTCCGGAAACGACAAAACAAGCTACTTTAAAACATGACAAAACTTAATTAGTTACATGAATTTATAAAAGTTATCATGAGTACTTCTTAATCTTTTGATCTTGCAAGGACTTCAAATCAAATTCAGAACTTTGTAAACCGTACTCCTAATTAATCACTTGCAAGGACTTTATGTAGTTTAGTATTTGATAAATCCGTTCGCCTTTTATAGTTTTGTTTAATTAAATAATGCATGAAAATTTTACATTAACTAATTTATAACAAATCTATTCTAAATTTAAATAAATATGTACATAGTAAATGTTCAATCATAAAATAAGATAACGTCTCAAATTTGCACATGCAAGAATTCTTCTATTAATTGGTTGATGGGCTTCTAACTAATTGAGCACGATTTATGGTTGTCAGCGTGTTTTTTTTTTTTTTTTAATGTCTTCACCAGATATATCTTCTTTTTAGATACGACAGAGTTTGATGTTGATTAATTGAGTTAGAAGAAGGGCCCTTAATAATTTAGTTTGAGCTTACTTAGAATTGTGTTATTTTCTTTTTGTGTTTGTTTTTTCATTACACCAAGGTATTTTGAACTTATCAAAGACTAATGTTTTCAAAATGGAGAGTAAATTACATTACACAATCAATAACATAGAGCTTTATATATTTATTTTTGTCGATTTAATTATTAAACTATAATTATATATTAATTTTGATTAAATAATTCATATTCTTAAAAGTACATATATGATATGTTTTTATTTATTTATTTTTTTTATCAGTAAGAATCATAAGATGACAATATATAATCTAACAAGATTTTGAAATATAGTTATACAATTAAAAATTATTTAACTGAGTAAAGTAAATGTAATTCACATTTGCCTTACTTCATGTCTCCCTCTTTTTAGGCGTAAATTAATTTGTTTCAATAAAACTTTTCTTGCCCTTTTATCTAGAAATTAAATCCTAACTAATATATTTAAGGATATAATGATCTATCGAATCTGGTTAGTTTTTGCACTTAATTATCATATTTTTCACAGTTTGATTACTAACATTTTGGAAATTTTAATACCGAATCTTTTTACTTTTTCTTTTACCAAGAGTATAATAGAATTATCTCCTTTGATACAAAGTTTTTTCAAAAAAGTAAAGCAAGTAACACTAAAATCAACTAACATTTTATTATCTTAGAGAAAAAAAAAAAAAAAACCCTTTCATATTGAAAATTTGAATTTAAGTAGAGGCTATATACATAGAGAGAGAAATATTTATGAACAGTCTTACACCGATATACAGTCTGCAAGAGAGAAGAGAAAAATTGTAAATATGACAAGTAACAGTGTTACCTTAAAACAAACAAGTAATGTTTTTTTTTACACTCAAAATTTCTCAACACATAAGTGTTACCAATCATTTATCTTTCAATATGTCTGCACTGTGTTCGTAATTTATTTTTTATTTTTTAAGAAAAGAGTGATCTGAAGTGTTTAAGGTGTTGAGATATAAATAATAAAAAAAAAGAGTGCAAGTGTAGTGCAGAAGTGGGGACCATGCACCGCCCATAAGCACACAGCGTTGGATCTATTTTGCGAATGTAACCCTAACCCAACTCACCACTTTCTTTTTCTTCATCCTTCCTATTCCAATTTTGAGTTTGGTTAGTACTGTCATCAGTGGCAGGATTAGTTAGAATTAGCTAAGCATCAAAGAAATCGATCTCTGGGTCTTGCTATTAATCGGAAAGGAATAAAGAGAAATTAAGAATGGATCCTATCGCAGCACACGGCCATTCTCTCCCCCCTCCTTTCCACCTACACCAACACCAACACCAATTCCACGCGTTGCAACAACAAAACACAGAAGACGAACAAAGCGGAAGCAGTGGAGGCCTAAACCTCGCTCACAAAGAAAACAACGCCGAAGATAACAACAAAGAAGGACCTGCCACTGCTTCAGCTTCAGCCGAAACCGAAATCACAAGAAGACCTCGCGGAAGACCCACCGGATCCAAGAACAAGCCCAAACCCCCCATCATCATCACTCGCGACAGCGCCAACGCCCTCAAAACGCACGTCATGGAGGTCGCCGACGGCTGCGACGTCGTCGACAGCGTCTCCACCTTCGCCCGCCGCCGCCAGCGAGGCGTCTGTATCATGAGCGGCACCGGAACCGTCACCAACGTCACGCTCCGCCAACCGGCTTCTTCCGGCGCCGTCGTCACTCTCCACGGAAGGTTCGAGATCCTGTCCCTCGCCGGCTCCTTCCTGCCGCCTCCGGCGCCTCCGGCAGCCTCCGGTTTGACAATATACCTGGCCGGAGGACAGGGCCAGGTGGTCGGAGGAAGCGTGGTGGGAGCGCTGATTGCTTCGGGGCCAGTGGTTATCATGTCAGCTTCGTTCAGCAACGCTGCGTATGAGAGGCTTCCTTTGGAAGATGAGGATCCTTCGGTGGCGGTTCAGGGGGGTTCGATTGGGTCACCCGGCGGTGGCGGTGGCGTTGGCGTTGGCGTTGGCGTTGGTCAACCACAGCAGCTTATGGGGGATTCAAGCACTGCGCCTCTTTTTCATGGGTTGAATCCTAATCTTCTGAATTCCGTTCAGATGCCGAACGAGACTTTCTGGGCAACGGGTCGCTCTCCTTACTGATATGTCCATGATTGGTGTAAGTGATGGCTTTTGTTTTTAGCTTTTTTGGGTGGGTCGGGTACGTACGTAGCAAGAGATTCACCAAACTGTCCTGTTATTACCGTAAAGCGTCATCCATCTTCATTCTTCAACCAACGCTCGCTTCTTTAGGATTTCTTTATTAGGTGAACCGTGAACCACTCAGTTGCTATATTTCAGACTGTAATTAAATTCATGAATCGATCGTTGGAGATCCACTTTTAATCTATTTATCATGACAAGAGAAAAACGCCTGCGATTGACTTTGCTTCTATTTTTCTATATATTCATCAACAGCCAACTACTGCTTCTCTACTGCATGTTGTGTCTTAGTGTTACTTTACATTTGCAGGTTCTTATTCATTGCATTCCTTCTTCTCCTTCTTTTTTGTTTCATTCGTTTCGTTGTTATGTAAGCGCATCAGCTATCAGGTTTAGCAACCGAAGAACATCACCTTTTGGGACGCTCATTTTTCTCAATTGAAGGTAATGTCTTTCTTCTTGTTTCAGTTTGAGGTTATGGTTAACATATTAATACATATGCGCCGTGTGATGGATTTAGTGAATAGTAAATTAGTGACAGTGGTTACTTGATGAAGAACATGATAAATAGCATATGTATGATCTACTTAGGTTATTCAAAATCGAATTAAAAAGAGTATTTTAATCCATTCAAAAATATTGTAATTGTCTTCTTTAAATATATATTAGGGTTTAATCAATGTAAGATATTAACTGCTAACTAACTACCAATACCATTCTTACAAGTTACAACATCTCTCAGCTCGTCCAGATTCTAGAAAATTTTCAAATTACTTAACGTGAATTTATTTTTATTGAATTTTCATTTTTTTTTTTACCTCATGCACGACATACAAGTTAACAAGATAAAAAAAATGAAGATTTATGTAATATATATATTTTTTTATATTCTTTATATAATTTTTTTACCTTACAAGCCTTTAAAAACTACAACACAAAGAACTTTTAATAACATTTGAACTTTTAGTAACATTTGAAAAATGTTACCTAATTATATATAAATGTTATTAATTTATTTTTCAATATATTATTATATATATATTGTATATAATCTATGTTACTAAAAATCTTTAATAACATTTTTACATAATTAGACAATATTTTTCAAATATTATTAAAGTGATATTTTCGTAACATTTTAATAATATTGTTAAGTTTTTATTAACTTTATAAAATAATAATTAATTTTAATATAAATATTGTTATTAATTATTATATTTTATGTCTCATAAATTCTTAAAAGTTCTTTAAAAAAAAGTTAAAAATATTCTTAATTAGTCATCAATTATACATTAAATATTAAAGTTTATTTATTTTAAGTATAATTATATAATTATACGTATCCTTTAAGTCATTCATTTACTAGATGTAAACTTTTAATCATAGAAAACAATTAAAGATGAAAGAAATATATTTTTTTTTATTTGATATAAGACCTTGATTTTATAAGCAAAGTAGAAAGAATAATATTGAATTAAAAAAGGTTACTTATTTATAATAACAATTAAAAACAATACTGTAAAATAATCTATGTAACATTTTTTACTCGATGAGAAATTTTAATTTCAAAAATAATTAAAGAAAATAATATTAAAATAAAAAATATTATTATATTTATAATAATATTTTTTAAAAAAATACTATAAAATAAATTATTTATTTAAAATACGGTACTATTTTAAAGAATGTAAATAGAAAAATGTTGGTAAGTATTAAAATATAGTAGTGTAATATTTAATTTATGGTTTGATGTTAGAATACATACATCGTACTGGGTAGATAACAAGTAGTGGTAGAAGAAGAAGATAAACATGAAAGTTTGGCAACTGGTTGACACATGCAGTGTCTGATAAGAGCTGTTTTTCGAGGCAGTCACCCACACTTTGATTAAAAGGCAACGATAACCGAGACGAGACAGACAACAAGCTTCGAACGTAATATATATACCCTGTCTCCTTCCTCTCTCCCTTTCTGTGACGTAAGTTCATTTCATATTTGAACCCTCTCTTCTCAAATCTCAAACCCCGTTGCTTTAAGATTCCATTCCATGCATGCACCCCTAAAAAAGCCTGCCTTGTCTAATCTAAACGTCCATGTTGCCCTCTATTCTCTAACCACTGCTTTCAGGTCTCTATCCAAATCATGCTCCCCTCTCTTTCTCATGCTCTAATTATTTTTCTCACTTTAAGAAAACAAAATTAACTTTTCTTTTCAATTTATATATACAGTATTAACACACAAAAAATGACAGATCAATATATAAAAAATCATTTTTAATTGATGTAAAATATTTTCCCACTTCTTTACCTTCTTTATCCATCTCAATAAGACAATAACAAATCTTTTCTACCATATTTATCTCATATTTCTATTCATATTTCTTTTATCTCTATCTCACTGATAATTCACAGAGCTTCAGATAAAAGATAATATTAGTGTGCATTTGAATGAGTTGTGAAAAACAAATTACTTTATAATCAACTATAAATATAAAGTTATTTGTTATAATTATTTTTATATTTAATTTAATAAATTATTATAAATAAATTAGGAAAGCAAAAGTGAATTAAAAAATAATTATCTTTTCATTATAAACTCTAAAATTATTATAAAAAAATTTATCTCCTCTATGAGATTATAATTTTTTACAATAATTCAAATTATCAGATATATTTAAATAGTACGATCAATAATTTTTTTATCAATTAAATTATAATATTAGAAATAATCAAATCCAAGATGTTAACCGTGTCCGGGGTGTCAGACTTCATCTATAGGGACAATACCTAACTACTAACTAGTTGGTAACCACGTTGAGCAAGAAAATATTAGATGATTATGAATAATATAATTTTTAATTAGTTTCTGCACAATATGTAATTAAATGTTGTGTTATTAATTATTGTTTGTAAATTAAAAAATTTAAACATATATTATATAATAATTAATTGAAAATTATGGATACTTAGTCGTTGTCTACGTAATAATTTCTCACGTCGAGGGGGAGGGGCCAATCAACTATAGTTGTTCTTAATGGAGAAAAAAGAAGAAGAAGAAGCTGCTTCTGACTTTGATTTTTTTGATCGCTCACTATTTTGAAACTTATAAAATACGGAGCCCGCGACATAAAACAAAATAAAAATAGTAAGTACGTGAAATCTGGCTCACTTCCCGCATTAGATATTGACCAAATGTATCACGGGCCTCGATTTTTCTTCTTCAATATATATAGGGATGCGCATGTATCCCTAAATCCTGCTTGAACTATTATGCATGATTTTAATTATAGTAAGTGAAAATATTATGTAAAGACAATAATACTTACCGGAATCAATTCCTATATACCATAGGCTATATAGCAAGTAATTAATTTGAAAACGACGTTTCTTTTAAAAAGGGTTCTACTTTGTCCTGATTGATAAATTTTCTCCCTCCATTGACCTTATTTTAATTATACTAAAGCTACCAGCTGTCAAGATGAGACATATGCTGTTCATGCAACTCACAGCTCCTGTTCTGTTAGTCTATCATTACCATCTAAAGGATTAACAGTATATATTAATGCGCTCAGGTTGAGGATCATCATTCATCAATGTTATACTTAAATCTTTGCCACTTAACAATAGTAATATGATGTATACATATTTTCAGTGCTACTCTTACATCCATTGATCAACAGGACAAATTATACTGATCGTAAATTTAGTAACAAGCTGAGTAAAGCAGGCACATTCCAGAGCTAGGCATCATTATCGAAATACAACGGGACAAATTATACTGATCATAAATTTAGTAAAATTACTTTTGAAACACTTTCATTATTATTTTGACCCCTCTCAATCTATATATAATATATATAACTACATTCAAAATCAGACCAAGTCTGTATTGATGAGAAAGATATACGCATTAATGCTTTATATTGTCATATAAATCAAGGAAAATTTGTGTAAAACTAGAAAATATTAGGGTAATTGAGCGAAATTTTGTTGAATCTCGAAAAATCAACTACAAAAAGACTACTTTTTCTTTATCTTTTGTGAGTCCCAAATATGTTTGATGCTCATATGCCTCTTTATTGTCTTACCAACTCAAGTCATCCCAAATTATAAAGGCAATAATTATAATAATACATTGAATTTCGCAATACGGTAGGGGCACTCGTTATGAAAAAATAAATGTTCACGAGGCGGGGACCACACTTTTAACAGACAGAATTTTGTTAAAACAATTAAAATCATCACTAATCAACAAATCAACTATTGTCCTTATGAATGACAACGAGTTATTTCGTGGAAGAAATTCAAAACTGTCACTACCCTTACATCTATTTATTTCATATACAAATCAATTTACATCCCAGTAATTGGCCACTAGCAAGCGGACCAGAAAGACACCATGTTGACTTGGATAAATTATGGCCATTCATTGATGGATCAACAACATACAATAACTCACTCACGCTTGTTTGGAATTTCAGCTAGAACACTGAAGAAAGCCATCCTGATTGATTACTTGTGGAGTTACATCCAAAATATTGAAAAGTATTACTTGTCTTCGGATCTTTCAGCCCACTTTAGCTTACTATACATAATTCTTCAGTAATTTACCCGCAAACGCCTCATTTCAGCTTGGAAAGAGGGACTGGAGACTAGTGTTCGATGGGCAAGAGTCTTTATATCTTCTCTTGAACAATCTCGGGAGATACGAACTAGCTCCCACAATGCACCCCCACTAATCATGTCTCTTGCATTTATTTCTGGAATGCATCAATCAGAGGTTCTTACGAACGTATCCTAGTGAAAATTTAGTTTCTAATTCACAGAGAGTTTACTTGGTACTTACCATGTTGTGCTAGGTGACAGAGTGCAAGCTCAATGTGACGCCTGATGGACGCGGCTTCATTATTTGCATTTTGCACAATCCATGGAAGGGCACCATCTTCAATAAGGAAAGATCTTCCACTCTTTGTCCCTATACAATGTGGCAAAATTTTAACTCTGGTAAATAGAGACTTGATGGAGCACGATTTTGCAAAGCTAAAATATGCTAAGGTCCAAAAATGAAAAGTGAAATACGGTAGTAATAGACGAATGAGGGGGAGAATTCTGTATCATTTTTATTCCCTCTCTTTTCGTTTTTATGTATACATTCAGTTAGGAGATTTATTTGGATTTATTTCCTTATTTATTGTAATTGGGCCAGATTTGTGACCCGTGATTCCTCAGTTAGCATAATTCCTTAAATGTACATATTGTGATCAGCCTTGTAAAATTTGATCACCTCAGATAGTACTTTTTTCTTATTTTTAGTTGGTATCATAATTCAGAATACCTAATGTGGGAAACTCTGCTTCCACATCAAAACCCTAAGCTGCCTTCATTGCAGTTAAACGCAAACGTATCATTTCAATGAAAATATTAATGTTATCACAATGAAAATATGACTTGGCAAGCTGTTACATGGGTTACCTTGAGTAGATGCTCTTGATTCACACTTTGCAAAATTTGCTATTCCACGAGCAACTTGTGCATGTACATCAGGATGTCTGCATCTGACCATTCCCAGCAGTGCCTTGATACCACCTTCGTCCCTCAGTTTTGTTTGTAGTTTATCTAGATGCAGGGACACCAAACTTTTACTGGCGCTGGTTATTATGTTTCAAGAGAATCAACTTGGTACATGATGCCTAGACTAGAATTTCCCAATCTATATCCAGCACAGCCCCATGAGACTCCCTCATAAAGAAACTTTATGACATTTTCAAAATAGGCCAGACATTTTTTATTTTTCCCTTCAAGGAAGTCTATTTCATGGCATGATATTACATTTCCAGGAATCACATTCCTAGAAATACAATAATGATAATAATATTCCGGAGTATTGTAAGAAAACATGTTTAGTTAACATCTAAAATTTGTTGGGAATGTTTATTATATTTTCAGAAATAATACTAGTGGGTAGGAAGATATAGGACTTTCACAGTAAAATTTATTCCCACTACAAAGGAATTTAACTTTCCCACCCTCTCCTCACGGGAATAAAAAGCTGGAAGAACATGAGAATGCAACTTTTCTGGGAATAAAAGATACTTGAAATATTTTTTTTGTATAACTTTCTAACAAATATGAAAATAAATATTTCAATCTTGATATTTCCAGGTATGGTAGAATATAACTTAAAAAAGCACCCCCTTACTCTTCTAACATGAAAATTTTCAGAGCATTCACTAAGCATGACAAGGGCAGAAATATTATAGAAGACAAGCAGCCGGATTAAAAGAAAAAAAGAAAAAAAATAGATGAACTTAACATCATGATCAATATCTCAACAAAGATGAAATCAAACACCTTATACTTACAACTTCTTAACTTTCAAAGATTTAGTTTGACAGTGATTCTATTTATTGAAATATATTTGTTCAACAGATGGCTTCATAAATTCATACTCAAAAAACAGGAATATCAACCAAGAAGAACGAAAGTTTTACTAGAAGTATCCAACAATGAAGTATGGTTGTATAATCTATAGGTAGAACAAGCAAATGATCCATCCATTCATTATTTTGTTGTATTACTCATCCACAATAGAAAGGATGGAAGAATGCAGTAAAAGGTAGGTCAACGAATTTGTTGTCCATGACTCCTATCCTACTATCCTACACTTAACCAAACCAGAAGGATCTTTCATAAGTAATGAGTCTCTGATATTGAATGCAATCGCAGGCAATTAAAAATAATTTCAAAAATAGAATAAGATCGGCAGTTTACCATTGCCACAAAGATTAGCAATGGCTCCAGCAACCATTCGAAGGGTTTGAGGATCTTCAGCATTGGCTGCAGTCATTGACAGCAAACTAATGCCCCCTTGGGCCATAATGAGTTCTTGGTTGGTTTCTGTAAAGATAGAATAAGGGTGCAGAGAGCAGGAAAACGATAACTAAGTAAAAATATATTTTTATTTCATAAAAATACTAGTTGAAAAAAGGAATCACAAGTTTACCATTCATTGCCAAATTTGCAATTGCACCTGCTGCAACTCTATGTATGGTCTCATCTTGTGAGCTCTTAAGAAGGTTAAGCAAGGACGTGAGCCCTCCTGCTTCAACAATCTTCCCTTGATTTGTTTCTGTAACATCATGTTCAATAGATGTTAGGGCCAATGTGTCTTATAACACCAAAGTTCTATAAATTGAATATAGTTTAGAAGGTGATGCTTTCCTTCTTTGAATCAGTGTATCAATAAACCAAGCCAAAAATATGATATGTATCAAGGAGGAATAAGGAAAAGAAGCTTTAATATGATTGGTGGTGATATTTGTTTCTAACAAATATTTCAAAATACTAAACTTTAACTTTCTACACAGTCCCCAGTTTCATGGACTCCAGATCAAACAATTTACAGGTCACACTAATTATTCACTTTTGTTTTGTTCATTCGTTCGCATGATGAGGAATTTCAAAAAAAAAAAAAAAAGCAGTTAAACAACCTTCAGCCGCTAGATTTGCTACAACTTTCACAGCATGGATTCGCACATCAGCATCTTCTGCTTCAAGCAATGACAAAATTTTCTGCAATCCCACTGTAAAAATATTTATTTTATCAGGAAGAAATAAATCTATAATATACAAAATAAGCTATTAACGAAATATAAGTCAATTAGTCAACCTAAGTGATATATACTAATTAATTACTACCTTGCTCAAAGAGCTTGGCTATTGAGGGCTTCTCTCCATTTCCTGAAGCTTGTTGCTGATGCTTAACTTGGGAAGTGAGAGAATTAAGACCACCGATTTCTTTTTCAAGCCCACCTCTGTCAAGTTGCCGCCTGGTCTATAGGATAAACATCAATTAACCAACCAAATATGATTCCCGCACAGGATCATACATGAAGATGCCCGAGCAATGCACATGATAAAAAATGGCAAAGAACAACAATGTTGGTTTGCTTTCATTTACATGGTCTCACATCTCAAAACAACTCATTTGCCATCAGTTGAAGAACCCAAAATTTTATTTAAGATGGTCAATTTTCCAATTTCACCATCAGAGAAAGAAAAGAAACCCGCTGGAGAAGAACCGGGAAGGAGAGACCGGGTAAACTAAGATAACTTTTTCCACCTAGTTACATTCACATTCTGCAGTATCAACTTCTACAATATCAATGCAAATGTTTCCGGTAGATGGCTATCATAGGGACGCAAACAATTCATTCATGGCTCCTCTATTGGGCCATAAAACAACGAATAGTCCTCCCATTCCCACAGATGAGAATGGACATAAATCATGACTCATGACAGGTGAGGAGGTTTCAGCCTACAATAAATATAGCCCAAAGCCAAGTCCCTGAGGATGCCAATATTGGCAAAAATATGATTTCACAGCATTGTCATAAAATAGGAGATTATCTCTTGTTAGACATAGTCATATCTAGCCCAAGCTGAATTGAAGATATTAAATACTACCGTAATTTAATAATGTCTCACTTTGTGCTATTCAAATGAAAAAATCACTAACTTTTAGACCATAGTAGCTGCTTCAGTTTAGATAGTAAAGAAGACAAAAGTATTAGGATGTTAAAAACAAATCCTTGCGAATGAGAACAGGCATTTTTTTTAATCAAAATGAAAATGCATGGAAAATAAATGCAAATTGACTAATTAGTCAAATTCAAAGGTTCTCCAAATTGAAAACCATGAGAGGAAAACAAAGTAAAAAGCAAAACTGGTCATCTTTATATGAAACATCTACTAGATAAAAGCTGAATAACTGAGGCATTTGTACACTTTTGATATAGCTTACCTCATCAGCTTCAAGACTTAACTGCAACAATTGACTTTGTAATATTGCTATTTCTCCTTCAAGTTTCTCTTTTTGACGTTCTTCATCTTCCAACATTTCATGAAGTTTTACAATCTCCGACTTTCCTGATGCCTATTACAATAAAAATTTCCACGTAAAATTAATTCTGATACCAACAAGGTAAGAAGAGGACATGCAAGTGAAAAATATAAATATTGGAGGCACAAAACCAAACCTCTGACTTTTTTAGTTCAGCCACATGAATCTTCAGATTATGTACTTCCCCTTCAGCAGCTTTTCTTAGATGAGACTCTTTCTGAAGCATTTTTTTCAAATCAGCCAGTTCCTCAGCAGACACTTTGGGAGTCTAGGAAAAGATAATTCCAGTGAGCCCCAATACTCAGTTGAAGAAAATCCCCAAAAACTAAGTGGGCATACTTTACTATTTCATATGGAGCTATCAATATTATCAGTTGTTTTCAAACTCACAGGTTGCAATTTAGTTTGGCTTCATTGGAATATTTTAAATCTGAGAAAAAAATGCCCCAATTATAACTCAAGTGACAAATTCATATCATAAACGCACAGGGAAAAATCATTAAATTAACAGGTTTGGCTAAAAAAGTCCTAATCCTGATTTTACTTTACATGAGATTTTTTCCCCAAGTCATATCTGTTCTCCTTTTATGTTTTCCAGAGAAATTGTCTTCTACTCTGTAGCTCTTAGTAATTTCATCTATTGTAATAAGCTTGAGACAATATAGTATGGTAAAAACCACTACCTCTCCACTCGATTTCATAAGAGATTCCTCATTCTTTCGTTGATTCATCATAAACTGCTCTTCAAGCTTCTTAATTGACTCCATATAGTCTTTCTGATATTTTGATCTCTCCTTCTGAGAAAGGAAAATGAGTATCAGTACATCAACACAAGGAAGTCATCAACATCAAAGCAACCACATTTTTGCCAATATGGGCCAATATAATCTCAAAAGACTAGTTACATTTGATACTACAGATACACTGTTCCAGAATCTGTAATTCAATGACTGTTAGAGAAACTGTTTCATACACACTACAATACTAATAACAAAGATATATAAAATTGAAATGGAACCAACCTCCAATGAATCTACATAGTTTCTTTCAGCCTCAGATATCCGATGTTGTGCTTCAGTGGCTAATCTTTCGATCTCATCCTCAAATGCCTTCTGTTGCCTTTCATGTTCCACAATGAGTTTATCTAATTCTATGTCTAACCTCCTAGATAAGCTTTTGTAATCAAATTCCTCCTTTAGTTTCACCATGTTTTCCACCTTCATAGCCTACAAGGAGCACAATGTTCAGCATTTTCATAATGGTTACAATTGTCACCATTGGCTTAAAATTTAATCTCAGAACAGGAGGTCAAGCCAGCCAACAAAAAGAGCATAGGGACTTTCAGCAGCTACAATAATCTTAAAGGTAGAGGGAGAAAAAAGAAAGTACACTACTGAATTTGAAACCTACCCTCTGTCCAAACATTATAGTGCTGGCAGTCTCTCCCCTATGCCGTGGAGATGGTCCAATAGTAATGACTAGTGAAGTTCTTGCTGTACCTGTTAAAACTTTTACATGTCAGGAAACATAAATTGCACAGATGTGGTTCATAAAAATTAGAAGTGCTTTACAATTTTAACAAAATATGTATTTCATAATAATGTCTCTAATCTAGAACGCGACAATTTACTATGAATTTTCTAACCTGAGATTTCCCTCTTATATCAATAGTACTTCAAAAAGAGGTAACTATTGAGACATCAACAGGAAACACATTTTAAAGCATTAACAGTGACTCAGCAATTTATTCTTAAATGTCAGATTACTACACCCGAAGTATCCTAAGATTACTAGCTATGTGTTTTCTATGTACAAATTGAATGTCTCACAGAATAATTCTTTAATTACTGGACCAGTTTTTTATTCCCACATGCCGAAACTTCTGTTGTGTTTTACCTGACAGCATCCACTACATAGCATGCCATAATTGAGAATCTGGTTCTTTATCATAGTAATAAAAGAAAGAAACAAAGAGAAAATATCAATTCTTCTACTCACTGAACCTTACCTCCAAATGAATCACGTAACAGTCTAGTAAGCTTTGAATCTCGAAATGGCACATGCGCACTACTCTCTGCAAGTGCATTAATACACTTCCCCAATGCACTCAAGGACAGATTGATAGATTTGGCTTCCTCTAGTGTATGTCCTTCACTTCCTATTTAACAACAAATAATGAAATGGTCTCATAAGCAGCATGGATGTTGTATGAAGCAAAACAACCCTGATTGCCAGAGTAATAAGTCTGGGGCAACTGATGATTTATCAGAAACAGTTCTTAAGCACTTTTTAAGTTTTATTTTGACAAGATCCCATATTTGCTTTCCAAGCATTTCACTTTAACCCCAAAACATTTTGTCACTTTAATAACAACAACACTAGAAAATAGCAAAAACAGTTTGTCCATCTTGTTTGATAAATATTTACCTTGAGCATGGAAGTTTGAATTATATCAATCCGGCCATTACAAAGATTTCATGTTGCCTCAAAACATTTGAATATCAAGATGCATAAAATATAAAGGGAAAAGATGGGAGAGAAATATGGATTTTTTCCTGAGTAAAGCCTCATATAATTTAAAGCCACTATATATAGATGAATACAGAGGGATCAAAAATTCACTTTATTGAATGTACTAACCTGACTTGTCAATTCGCTCTGAACCAGCAAGATCTACAACAACCAATTTGCCTTTCCGAACAACAGGTGGCTTTATCGATTTAACCATGTGTTGGTGACTGCCATTTTCACTTGAAAGAGCAGCATCCCTTCCTTTTATAGATCTCCTTACATGCACCTATAGTATCAGAACTACATTCAATCCTCCAACTTGATAAAAAATAGGAATATTCAACAGTGAACTATAACTCCTAAGACAATAATATGAGCCCCATTAGCAAGTTATGCAAATTGATTTACCATCAGAATAGCATGACTTCGAGAAGATTCTGTATTCAGTTTTGTATTCGCAGCAAAGCGGTGAGCCTCTCCTAATCTTAATAGTTCTACAAAACTCTGCTGGTTCCTAATGTCAACTAGGCTAGCTCCAGGTAATGAAACATCACCAGTTTTGGGATCTTCTACAATGGTAATGTTATCATTGGCAGGGTCAAGCAGATCTTGTATAGTTTCCATATAAAGCTGAACAATGAAATTAAGAAACATCATACGCCATAGACAATGAGACTAAATTAGAAAGATATACCAAAAACTTTTTCTTTGCAAAGTACCTGCAAATACGAGACCAAGACTGTATCAGTTTCCAAAGAAACATCTGCAAGAATATCCTCCATGGCTCGCACCATTATTCCACGTGCAGCATTGTCTTCCTCTCCAAGTCGTCCAAGAGTATAAGTCTTACCGGTACCAGTCTGCCCGTATGCCATAATTGTCCCATTGTAACCATCGAGGACACTCTGCAGAGGTCAAAGTAAGGTATGTAATAAAAGCAAGTTCCACAGTAAGAGCAAAGTTGCCAAAATAAATGTAAAGCCTTTGGATTGATTCTTGAGGAAATCAATAATGATGAGCTCAAGAAAGTAGGGAAATCCCAAGCAAGAAGTCACATGGTTAACCCTCATCGCTTCACTCAAACTAGCTTTCAATTGCTAGACATGAAAGCATGCTTAATCAATTTGACAAAAAAAAAAAAAAAAAGCAATTACATTTCAACCAAAGATCCTGAAACCACTTGATTCATGCTCCCTCACATATCGACGAACCTGATTATCAAATGATTACAGTGTTTGAACGCAAAGCACTGTTGGATGAATACCCACCTCCACAACAGGCCTGGCCACAACTTCATAAACGCGTTTTTGTGATGCAAATTCGGTGAGCACCTCATCAAATTCATAAGTATCTGCATCCCAATTGTTTTTCCGAAGTTTCAACCTCTTGAGCTGCAATAGAGTCACACAAACAAGCACAATTAACAGTCCATAAAGAGATAAAACAGCAGCAGAAAGATAGTAATTCTGAAACAAGCAACAAAGTTACGGAATACATATACTATACCTCTGGCTGCAGTTCCACACAGTCAGCAAAGTCAGCATCCGCCACTGATTCCTCTGCATTTCGCGGCCGCAATCTAACAGCCACTCTTACTCTTCCAGGAACTTCACCCAAGCATAAGCACGATGATGTTAGGACCAAAGCGAGAACAATAATTACTTCCTAATTAAGCTTCAACAAACACTCGCAAGTCTGTTCATGCAGTTATTCACGGATTTGTCTCACCAAATTCACGGATCCTGAAAGGTTTTCACCTCCAGGTGCAGAAACGCATTCGTTTGTAGCTATGACATAATCACCGAATAGAAAATGCATAGAAATAATTAAAAAGGAAAGGAAGATCTCAAAGAGTTAGTTACCGGCAGCAGCGTGGTCCTTGCCGGTGCTATTACGGCGTTGCGTAGGCTTTGACTTGGCCTGTGGCTTGAGAGAGGTTCTGTGAGAGTGAGTGCCATTTCTGTAACTGTTACCAACCTGAGAGGTTGCCATTTCAAGAAAAGAGGGTTTCTTATTTGTTGCTCATTAACAAGTTATCATGTTTCTTGCACTGCACTTTCAAACTCACATAAATTCCGTTGCCACAGAGTAATGCGTATTTTGACTTGCCATACGCATACAAATTAGCAATGAAACCTGAGAGGTCCATCGCGGGTCCCACTTTCTTTCTTCCGCTTCTAATTGTTCAGATCATTTTTCTAAAGTACCAAAACATCCTTCCTTATTTCAAATTAAAGGTTCTTAAGCATGGGTATAAACGGAATGAAATTTAATTTGCTTTTCTTTCAATAGAAAAGGAGGTGTCACCTCACACCCGCAATGAATCGTAGGCCGGCAGCATTCAATTTCTTTCAACTCCCCCAACCGCTCTATTCACTTTCTAATCACGGATTACTCTAATTTTTTTATTTTTTTTCCTAGAACTGTAAAAATATTAATATTCCCTACTTGCTTGAATTAAATAAATTCATGTTAACTGTAGTGCATGGAAGAGGTATGGAATTTTTTTTTTTTTTTTTGTGGAAAGAATAGCTTTGTTTCAAGTAAACTGTCTTTTGTGCCGTTTACTAAGATGTGTTTTTGTCGATATCGTAGGCTCATTTGCAAACACTTTGCTCGGACTCAGAGGAGGCCTTAACAATGTCACACACATACGTCCAAAATCGAAGAACATTCAAGTTTCTAAAATTGAATACTGCTCGAGGCTTCAAATATGCTAATCATAAAATCAGTGTTTGTTCAATTCAGGTACCACATAATCCTTTAAACAATGTTATGTACTCGTGTCTTTTCTATATATAAAAAAATATATTCTCTTTCTACATTTATCATTAATTGTTACAAAATTAAACAACTTTTTTATTTTTATACACAAATTATCGTATTGACTGAAAGTTAACTTGCAAAGAATAGCAAATCATATCCTTTTCAACCATCTTTGTGTACGACCAATATCAGACAAATTTCAATAGTTCATTGGTTATTGCACAACAGGTTAATGCGACTGTCGTGTCTTTATTGTTTTCTGTATTTCTTTTCGAAACGATATTGTTTTTTGTATTGTTTGTATTGAAACTTGGTCTCAGATAATACAAAAGGATGATTCTAGATTGACATCAGAATAAAGAAGTTAGTTAATTCATGCAGTAACATTGTTTTTTTATAGGAAATCTCATGCACTGAAATTTTTTTACTTTAAGAACAAATAGAAAGATTTGAAAATTCCTATAAAGAGTGGCATGGAGGGGCAAAGAGGGACTGCAAACTATACAGTTGTCATAAAAAGGGGCAACAAAGTGAATAAAGATGGATTCCTTTAAATCAATATGTAAGAAGATATTCAAATTGAATAAACCATGGAGGGAAGCAGCATCAACCTCCATTAAGCTTTGAAAATATAATATGCAAGTTTTTGTCCTACTCTTTTTCTCTCTTTCTTTTTTTCCTTCATCTATTGGTCCAACGCTGAATTTTGCAGTTGTCATGATGTTCTCGATCAATTACAAACTTAAGATTTTATTCAATGAAGCGTGATTACTTTGCTGCATGAATTTATTTGTTAACGCTCCTTTCCCAAAGGAAGTGGTGAGTTTCGGAAATTTAATCACCTTTCCAATATCTATTGAATATAGGTTGTAATGAAGCTAGCTTACGTAAAAATAATTATAATTATAACTTAATAATTAACTTGTTAAATTTATTTTATAAATTAAATAAATTAAATTTAAGTTAAAAATTAAATTCAAAAAATAAATAATCTGAACTTAAATTATATTTAATTTGACTCATTTTATTTATGAATCTCGATATATAAATATATATTTAATTTAAATATATTTATAATCTTTTAAATTTAGGATAAATTTATTTTTATCGTCTCTTAAATTTAAAAATTATTATTTTTAATTCATGTAACTTTTAAAAATCTCATTTAATTATTCAGGTAATTAATAACGTATCTAAAAGTAATAGATTGAGATAGTTATATGATATTAATTGGGTTTAATATAATATTTTTACTAATAATGATACCGTAGATTTTATAAGAAAATATTTGATAGATTCTCTAATAAAATTTAAGTATAAAGACTAAAATAAAATTTTTTGAAATTACAAGATTAAAAAAATTCATTTTAAATTTGAGAGACTAAAAATAAATTCACCTTAAATTTGGGGAACTAAAAACATATTTAATCCTATATAATTTTTATAATTAATTTTATATTTAATTTCATCTTATTAAAATACCAAAAAGCTTTCAAAAATGTATTATAAATTAATAATAATAAAAGAAATAAACACTTAAGAATTTCATGATTATAGATTGAGTTTTCTATTATTTTATGCAAGATGAGTATGAATGAAAATAAGTCAGGTCAGACTTTAAATATATAGGTTAGGTCTGTTTTGTAAAATTAAAGTTTAAACGTGACCTATTAACATATTTAAATTATCAATGTTAATTAGGTCAATAAATTTAATTTTTAAAATTTTTAAAAATATTTTTAAAATATAATTTACTCAATATTATTAAATTTTAAATTTTTAAAAAAAATAATAATTTCATATTAAAGAAACAATTCATATGTAATTATGTATGTTGATGTACACTCGTGTACAAATTATAAATTTATAAACCTATAATGATAAAAAAAAAATTGTATAAAAAAATATTTTAAATATTAATAATTTATTTTTGTTATATATATATATATAGGAATTAAAAAAGCAAGCAAGAAAATTAACACCAAGTATTTTTTCATAATTTGATTCATATAGTGCTATACTTTATATCTTAAATACCTTTTCATTTATAACATTCAGTATAGGAACATTATAGCTAAGAGATTATATAACTAATATGTCTAAAATATTTTATTATAATTTGATTTGTTTAGTAATCTTAATTTGATTATTAAAAATGTCATTATATATCTTTCATCTTTATGAAAAAGATAAACTAGCTAGTAACATAAAAAAATAATTTAATGATTATTTTGTATATTTAAAGAACTACGGGTATCAAAAAGTTTTAAAGGAGATTATGTATAAATAACTTAATATACATATGTAAATTTATATATCAACTAGATGTTGATTATTGAATTCAAATTCTTTTTAGTAAGATCTCAATAATAAAATTAGTGGATATTTCATAAAAAAATAATATAATTAAAAAAAATTGAGCTTTAGTGCTATTTTGTAACTTTTTTTTTTGTCTTTTGTCCAAAGTTTTTTTATTCAGTTTATTTTTACATAGTTTTTTTCAATTATTATCTTCACTGTTTTAATATAACTTTTCCTTTACCTTAGGCTGAAAAAATCAGTAATACATCTCATATTAAATATCATTTTTACAATGTAACTTCATCAAAATTATAATATAAATTAGTTTATATTATGTCGTTTGATTTAATAAAATATTATAAAATAATAAAATTCAAAATTATTATCTCAAATTTTAGATGATAAATTAGTTGAAATAAATTAAAATATAAAAAGTGATAATTGTTTGAAAGTAAACATGTTACCATATTTCAAGTTATGTGATTATGTAATTAAAATATCAAATATGTTTTTTATGCCATTAATTTATACTTATTAGGTAGTTCAACCACTCATTTTACGAAATACTTCTATGGTATGTTAATTTTAACGAATTTTGTCAAAGGATTTCAATTTGTAAGTTAATTACTAATATAAATAAATATATTTAAACATATAAATTATATTTTAAATTTATGTTAAATAAATTATATATATAACAAAAATTATTTTTAGTTATTGATAGTTTATTTAAAAATATTAAAAATTAATTTATAAATAAATATAAAAATATTATTGGACAAGATAATTATTTGCATTTATCATACAATAATTGATTTAAAAATATGTTAAAATAACTTGTTTAAGTATCAGGTCCAATCAACTTTAATATTAATGAAATTTTATGTATATTTTTTCAAATAAAATAAAGAAATTTCAAATGACAAAATGAAATAATTTAGAAATTTGTTCTCTCTTTCACAATCTCATTGTGAACTCACTCGCGTCAAAACGGTAGTGCGCTTTTTCTCTTTATCTTGCGAACCTTACTCTCCGATCCGCATCTTACTCTCACAAATTGTTAAATGATTAAGAAATTATATGGTACCCATCTTATTTGAGAGGATATTGGTACAGTTTTTTATATTTTACATTTTTAGTAATTTATTTAAATAATATTTATGATATTTTATTCTTTTAATTTTTAAATTATTTAGTCATTTTATTTTTATTTTATATATTCTAATTTATTTGTAATAATATTATTATATATTTAAATAGTTTAATTTTAATAATTTTTTAAGTATATTTTTATCTTTTCACTTAAAATTTTTGAATTTTTATATTTTAATTTTAATAATTTTTTAAGTATATTTTTTGTCTTTTTGTCTTAAAATTTTGAATTTCTATATTGTAATTTTAATAACTTTTTATTTCTACTATTTATTAATTTTTTTCTTTTTCTTTAATATTTTATAATATTATTGAAAACTTATAATTTTAATCTCTATAATTTTATTTTATTTTTTATTTTATAAGTATAATTTGGATTATTCATTTTATAATTAAATTAATTTTTTTAAAATTTTTTATGAGTTTACATAGAAAGATGTATTGAAACCCCTCCATCTTTGAGGGTACCGTAGCAATTCCCTAAATCATTTATGGACACCGTGTGTGCATAGTTCCGACCAATCTTATGTAATATATAAATAGATGAAAATTTTAACTTATATACAAGACAAGAGTCGGTATTATATCCTCATAAATAAAACATATTAACATATTATAGATTAAAATGAATAACTAAACATGTACTCGCTCAATTAGTTAGTCGTGGAATTAGGTAATAAGGTATTAATACTCACAAATATTTATAATTTAATTTTTTTACTCTAAAAGTTTAGATCATGGTAAAACATTATCTCATACAAAAGCAAAAGTAAGTTCAATAATTAAATTCTTTGAAGATGTTTGGTGATATTTATACTTTAAAATTATTAAAAATGTTTTTAATTATATATAAAGTAATTTGATCTATTTTTTATTATTATAAATATGT